GACAGCGGGTCTGTGTTTGACAAAGACGCATCTTTTGTCCCCAGGAAGCGTCACCCTTAAAAAGGTAACACTATCAGATACATTAACATCAAACCTCAGCTAACTGTTTCACCATCGGTAAACACACAGAGAGGTTCAATGTCGATCTTGCTCTTGGTTTATCTCCACAGGTGCTCATCAACAGCTGTCGGACATGCTCCTCCGGTATCTTCTCCAACGAGAGGATCCGCAACATCGGGATCTCGGCTCACATCGACTCGGGGAAGACCACCCTGACCGAGCGTGTCCTCTACTACACCGGCAGGATAGCGGAGATTCACGAGGTAAAGCTCTGTCTGTCTGTCTGTGTGTTAATCAAGTTAGGTTTTATACAGGTGTGCCACATCCACGAGCTGCTCTCCTCCTCTGCAGGTGAAGGGGAAGGACGGTGTTGGAGCCACGATGGACTCTATGGAGCTGGAGAGACAGAGAGGCATCACCATCCAGTCAGCTGCCACATACACTGTGTGGAAGAACCACAACATCAACATTATTGACACACCAGGTACTTAAAGTAAACATATACCCTCATGTTTAGTCCCTAGAGTTGGTTAAACTCCAAAAGCATTTGATACTACATTTCCCATGATGCAGCGTGTTATTGTCTCTTTTATCAGAGCCTACCTACCTGGTGAATAAGTATAAGTATAATACTGTCAGTGGTGAATACCCACCTCCTTCAAGCCACATCCTCTCAGTTTATAACGCAGACTCTCTAGGACTTGTTTGTTTGTCTTCTCATAACCTCGATGACGATCTAAATAAGATTAATTTATCAGACTTTAAAAATCTCCCTCCAGAGCCATAAAAGACGTCACAAACTGTCGTAACTTTGATGAGTAAACTGATCCTGTCTAAATTATCGGAGTGCCCCTTTAAGGCTTGTACCATCTTCATTATAATGTTCTTCAGTGATACACACACACACACACACACACACACACACACACACACACACACACACACACTCTCACTCACTGGTGTATCTGCCACAGAAACTTGATAATAGACTTTCATGTTAGAGTCTGATGTAAGAAAGTGGTGTGGTGTTCATCAACAGACCTACTCTTGGTTATTTGTCTAGGAAATTTGCCGTTGTGGTCTAAGCTTTGCAGAAGTAATTATTCTCAGTTTAAGAGAAAAAAAAAAGTTCAATCATAAAGAGGAAGCTACAGAATGTAGTGCAAAAACTAAAATAAATGCACATTTAATTTCAGTGTCCAAGTTTTAAGGGGAAGCCATGTAATGATTGTGCATCCTGGTGTTGCTGTCTATGTAATCTGACCCGGTTTCACCCCATCTTACTCTTTAGTGTCTAATAATGCCCACAAAAACACTTTAGTGCTACAGAAAGTGAAAGAACAGGAGGTTGAAATGATGAATTTTGTCCTCCAAGCTCCCAAAGTATCACTTTATTTTATTATCATTATTTAATGTTTAAACTGTCCCTGTTGTTCCTCCAGGTCACGTGGACTTTACCATCGAGGTGGAACGAGCGCTGCGTGTGCTGGACAGTGCCGTGCTGGTTCTGTGTGCAGTGGGAGGAGTCCAGTGTCAGACCATGACTGTGAACAGGCAGATGAAACGCTACAACGTCCCCTTCCTCACCTTTATCAACAAGCTGGACCGTATGGGCGCCAACCCCAACCGAGCCCTGCAGCAGATGAGGTGGGTGGTGATATTTTACACTCAGTAGTGATAATGTGACAGTATATGTTGTTATAATACAGTTTATAACCTTAATCCCTGATCAGATTGTAATAAATGGAGAATAAAATCTATATATTTCCAGGCTCTATTTGCATGATAGTCTGTTTAACTGTATATTCTTTAAGCTTTTAGTTTGCCGTTTCTGAACTATTGCTAATTAGTTTTTAAAATAAACCAAACAATACACGTTCACACTCCTGCAGCTGTGTTATCTAATGGTAAAAACAGTCATATTTCTCCTGTAGGCCGCGTTCACAGGCTGGTTTACAGGAAATCAAATCAATCAATCACAAACAATGTTGTAATCAGCTGTGTCCTTCATGTATTTTTGTTCACACATAAGACTTTTGGCTTTGTCTTCTTCAGAACCAAACTGAACCACAACGCAGCCTTTGTGAGCATCCCCATCGGCCTGGAGGGGAACATGCGCGGCATCATAGACCTTGTGGAGGGGCGGAGCATGTATTTCGAAGGACCTTTTGGGTGAGGGATTCCCCCCCCCCCCAGTAGTTGACCGTGAATAGATCAGTTTCTGTAGAAGTGTAGTTATTTTATCTGCACAGTGATTTGTTTATTTTGCCGATTCTTTAGCAGCAAGAATAGTTTGTTTTTACCATAAATAAAGAATAAAGACAGCTGGGCTACAGTATCAGTGTTAATTCATATCCCTGTTTCACAACTTCTGAGATTCTGTTACTGAACAAGACGAAGCCGATTCAAACAGTTTCTTCCTCTCTGCAGTCAAACTATCCGGTATGATGAGATCCCGGCAGATTTCCGCGCTGAGGCTGAAGACCGGAGGCAGGAACTGGTGGAGTGTGTAGCCAACGCTGATGAAATGCTGGGAGAGATGTTCTTGGAGGAAAAGATTCCAACCAATGAAGATCTGAAGGTTTGTGTCTTCAAAGAGAAAGAGAGTGTGTGTGTGTGTGTGTGTGTGTGTGTGTGTGTGTGTGTGTGAAATCTGAGGGATTTCAGGATATTATAACAAGGTCCCTTTCAATGTTTCCAAAAAGCTCGCCACTTCCCTTCAATAACTCTGACTAATTGTTGATTCATTCATTAGTTTTAAAATAACTTTCTTGACATCACAAGTTAAGAAGTGTAACAATTCTGCAACCATATTTGTGTCTCAAGGTTATTAAAGTTCACTAAAGCAAAACTAAAAACTAAAACTATGTTGAAATATAAATAAATAATACATAAATTGTGTACTTACAGTGTGATTGTGTTGTAATATAATATAAATCTTGCCCCTGCCAAATACTATAATAAAAAACACTAAAAGTATAGCTGAAACTAAACTGAAACTAAACATTTTTAAACAATACAAGACCTTGAAAACAAAAATTTGTCTCTAAACTCAGTCTCTTGTCACTTCACTGTCTTCCAGGCTGCAATCCGCAGGGCCACAGTGCAACGTCTCTTCAGTCCCGTGTTGGTGGGCACAGCACTGAAGAATAAGGGTGTCCAGCCTCTACTGGACGCTGTCCTGGATTACCTGCCGAACCCCACTGAAGTCAAAAACTATGCTCTACTCAATAACGAGTGAGTATAGATGAAATTCCAGCAAATCTTTTCTGACAGAATCTTTTTCTTGAGAAATGCTGTGCGCTAATGTTAGCCGGTTTGTCACTGTGTTAGAGACGGCAATGAAATCAAACTTCAAATGGATCCTACAAGAGACTCTACACACCCCTATGTCGGCTTGGCCTTCAAACTGGAGGTAAGATATTATTCTTTATCTTTTATTTCTGTGGTCTCAGTCTGTCATCCTTTGATGTTTCATGTTGTGTTTTCTCATTGACAGGCAGGGAGATTTGGCCAGCTTACGTATGTGCGTGTCTACCAGGGCTGTTTGAAGAAGGGAGAATACATCTACAACACACGCACAAGCAAGAAAGTCAGAGTTCAGAGGCTGGTGCGTCTCCACGCTGACCAGCTGGAGGTGAGAACACGTCAGAAGGTTGTCAGAGGTCACAGTTTTCCATCTGTGGTTTGCTGTTTAAAACAGCAGAGGAACATGACTGACCAAAATGATTATGTTCCTCTTTTGGCATCAGTCAAGTGTGTAGATAACAACCACATCCCCTGTGACACCAGAGTAACATGTTTCCATCCTTCTTGCATCAAAAGAACGCATGAAACTGTTTGATATTTATTAAAAATAAGACATTTGGATCAACTCAGTTCTTAAAAATTAACACTTTGTCCTCTTATTCCCATCATTCCTTTTTATCCACCCTGTTCCAGGATGTGGACGAGGTCTATGCAGGAGATATTTGTGCTCTTTTTGGCATTGACTGTGCTAGCGGAGACACTTTTACCTCCAAGACCAACGCTAACCTCTCCATGGTGAGTAACTTCAGTGTTTTCACCTGTGAAAGTGCAAGAAAAAATTCTTCTTCTTTTCCTTCTTTATTCTTTCCAAGAATCTTGTGTTCATTTGTTATCATGTTTGTCCCACAGGAGTCTATTCACGTCCCAGAGCCCGTCATTTCAATGTCAATGAAGCCAGCCAACAAGGTAAAAAAAAGACTTTAATCTACACATACATATTGTAAAAATCTAAACTGCATCTGTTAACTCTTCTCTCCTGACATTATCTTTGCTTCTCACTAGAATGACCTGGACAAGTTCTCCAAAGGCATTAACCGTTTCACCAGGGAAGATCCGACGTTTCGAGTGCATTTTGACACAGAGAGCAAAGAAACCATCATCTCCGGCATGGGCGAGCTACATCTTGAAATCTACTCCCAGGTACCCAGTCAGTGGATGTCCTGCATGTTTAATACAAGACGTCTCTTAATGATGGTGCTTTATGTCACGTTAGTTTCGATTTGTGCCAAAAAACCTGCAAATATGACTTTGTCGTTAGTGTCTGTCTCTGTGTTGTAGAAAATAATGTTGTTGTGGTAGATTGTAACTTGATAAGTATGAGAAGTCGCTGCACCACAAACCAAATGAGCATCAGTGTTTTTGGGAAACTGAGTCAAGACATCTGAACCTTTTTAACAACTACATTAAATGGATATATCCGTCTCATGTTGTCATTAAACCTGAAATATCTGACCTGTCTTTTGCCCTTTCTTGTTTTGGTTTGCTGTTTCAGAGGATGGAGAGAGAATACAACTGTCCCTGTGTGATGGGAAAACCCAAAGTCGCTTTCAGAGAGACGATCAGCAGTCCCGTATCGTAAGTGCTGATCTCCCGACTCACACACACTCTCACACACACAAAAAGAGGAAATAGTCTGTATAAACAGTTTATTTTGACTAAAATACAATAGCAACAAAAAGTACTACAAAAGTAGCACAATGTAAGGACATCATCATTATATATGATGCATTCCATCATTGATAGTATAAATCGGTAGTTCAAAGGTCAACAACACATCCTAGCTTAGTACTTGCAGTACTTGCTCCAGTAGCTGAATACAAGATGTGAGCATCAAGATGTGGTTTTGGTTGTTATAGCAGTGCGATGATGATGTCAACAGTTTAGTTTGTGTTTGGAGGTTTTTCGCAGTGGTGGCAGTGTGGAAGCTGTTCCATCTGCAGCACTTTAACTCCCTCTGGAGGAGACCAGGTGAACAGCAGTTTCCAGTGAATGATTTCCTGCAAAAATAACAGATTCAAAATATCAGATTGTTGAATTAATACGATTGTAGGTTGTAAAAACGCACATCACACAGTAGATATTTAGCATGAAAGCAAGTGTTCTTTTCAACTGACTGGTACCAGTTTACTGTAGGAATCCACTAGTGCTGAATCTATTATTACATTAAATGATTATCTGCTTCATTACTCAAATAGGCAATTAGTTATTTATCATGTAAATGTAGCAAATGTTTACTGTTTACATATAAATGGTGTAAATTAGATTTCTCTTCTGATTCAAATCATTGAAAAAGGATTAAATATGTTATATATTAGTTTGAACAAGAAATGTTAAGACAAAGTTCTAGAGCCACCAGTCATTTCATAAATATATTTAAATGTTTGTTAGAGTGATAATGAAAGTAACTGTTGGTATCATCATTTTCAAGTATATTTAAAAAGTTTACAGTAATAATATTAATATTAATAATAATATTTATAATAATAATAATAAGTTACCTGGGACACCATCTCATGCAGCAGTATGTGATAGTCAAACTTCAGCTGGTCGTTCTCAGTTGGCTGCAGCAGATAAATAAAGCGAAATGTTAGAAACAAATTTTACAGGGTTCATCCGGAATATTTGGTCTGCCTTTTATCCAAAACCTGTATGACTGAAAACCTACGACTGTATTAAATAGACTCTAATGTGCTGAAACTCTTCTTTAGTTACACAGTCTGCACCTGAATGTGGACCGTACACTGTAGACTGTGCTGTACATTAATCGTGAATTACGCCCTTTTAAAGTGAGAAAAATTTGCCAATTTACTTATCATTCAAGGATTAATGGATAAACAGATAAAACAACCTACCAGCTGTGTGACGTTGGCCACCTGAGCCATGTTGTACAGTGTGTTTTCAGTGGATTCATTCAGCATGACGAAGCTGGAGGCCACAAAGCCCAGGTGCCAGAGAGGCTTCATGTCGGGCTCAATGTGACCGTAGCTGTCTGTTGGTCAGAATGTCAGCGTGTTTACGTGTGCGCGGGGTTTGATTATACATAGATCTTGTTATGTCAACATACTGTCATTTGTAGAAGAACACTGAGTTTATTCAAAAAACCACAAACTGTAACAGTTGAAATTTCAGACTGCCAATGTTGTGCAATATCTGACTTTATGTCGATTAGCAGAGTTTGTTTTTTTAAATCAGACATACCAGGTAGATTTTGTGCCGTTACCAGGCTTTGGTTCATCTTGTACTCTTGGTATAATGCCTCTTCTTGAGCTTCAGTGTCGTTTTTAAGGAGCTCCTCCCACGACGACGCCTGGACCTGGGCTGAGCCCTGCCGTTCTCCCCTCGGAAACAAAACCTCTGCAGAGCATTTCTCTGTAGTCTGGATGCATATTTGAAAAAAGGGGGGGGAAACAGTTGATTTAAAAAGAAGCAAACAGGAGAAAGGCAGGGCTGATAGAAAAGAAGCCGAGTTTGCAGAGCAAAGGCGTTGTCCAGATGTTACCGTGGCAGCCAGTGAGTCAGCGTTGCACCACACTGCTTCCTTTTATCTACTGTTTAGTCAAACCTCATCCAACCTGCTTTCCTTAAACCAGAGATTATTCAGCTTAAAACTTATGCTTAAAATATCTTTCCAAAATCACAATGAATGCCATTAACTTGTGAAATGTTAAGGATAAACGCAGCTATTACATTTTGATTATCCCTATTTGAGAAGTCAATTTAGATGCAATAAGTCTTTACAGATGAGCACTTGAGTAAATCTTGCAGTGCAGGGTGATAAAAGGTTTTGAGTAATCTGATTCATAGACAAAATGTGTCATTAGATATGTAGTTTGTCTTTTTTTAAATGGTGCTTTTAACATCTGGGAAGGGACAGCTGACTCATTTACAGTTTGTTCTGTTGATTATTACTGTATAACCAAAAATAACTAATCAGAAATTAAACAAAATCAAAGACATTTGTGAAAACTTTTAAGTTAATGAAGCCACTCTAGACTTGGCTGTATCTGACCCACATCCCGTGTCTCAGTGTGATAAATAATATCTTACATTGCCGATAATCTCCTGCACTGTGACCTCCAGCTGATACTTTCTCCCAGAGTCTGCCACATCCTTGAAAGGGAAAACATAACCATAGTTGAGTATAGTTAGCACTTATATACTTCACTGTAAACTACATTAAAGCTCAGCTGACCTCTGCGTTCCCGCTGTTGACCCTCTGCAGTCCGAACAGCCTGTATGGAGAGCCATACCGGGTGTTGAGGTAGTGTTGGACCACTTTGGCTGCCCTCTGAGCAGGGTAGTGATTTGGGTTCAGCTCTCCGGTCGCCATCACATCCTCTTCGGCCTCCTCTCCCACTAATACTGGCACGTTTTGCTGTTATTCCACAGACAGTACAGACAGCGAGAGTTGGGAAGGAATGAAAAGAAAGGAACACAATTAGAACAGAAGCCGCTGTAATGAACTGGGATGGGCTTGTAACCCCTGAAGGACTTTGATCCTCAGGTGTCAGCAGGGTTGGTTTGCCACTAGATAAGAAAAGACTTCCATCCATTGAGGAAGTGGCAAAGGAAAGCGAATATGTAGAACCCAAAGAAAAAGTACAAGGTAATGAAATAATAAATTAAATAAGGGAGTCTTATCTTGCCTGTAACTGGAATGCTGAAACGTCCCACCTGTTAACTGGTGGGAAGTTTTATCTGTCCGATGTTCAGTCTCAGCTGCTCCTCATGCAAATAGAAAGATTACTTCCCACTTCCTCTGACACCAGACCTCTTTGAGGACTGCCCCTTTTTTTTTTTTTTAAAGAGACAGAGTTCTTTTCTGTTGTTTCCCCTCCTCCCTAGTGATTCTGCTCTACTGAACAGCCAATGCAAGCAAATAGACCCTTAAATATTGGTTAGCACCTACAAAATCAGTCAGATTTGATGCTGCAGTGTTTCAAATGCAATTCAATTACACAAGAAATGTCAAATTTAGATTAAAATTTAACGTATTTTGGTGGAAAACATCAACATGTTTCTTTAAAAAGCTACCACTGATGATATCTGATATTGTTCACACATACTGGTAAATCTTAGTAACTGCAGTATAATTACAAAATGTGCTATGTTTTCAATTTTGAAGTGACGCACTCCTAGAGAGAATTATAGAGAATAATAATAGTACACAAATAGTCAAACTGACAAATAACTGATTAGAAGTAAGTAGTATTTTGTATTTATTTTGTTTAGTATTTGTGTATATCATAGGTGTTTGTTTTGACTCGTGTATTTATTTGGCCAAAATTGTAACAATAAAAAGAAGAAATTAAAATTTTTAAAAAGTTGTTTTTTTGCAGTTATAGTGCCACCTGTATTAGTGTTCTCTGAGGGGTGTCTATTTTTGTTACAGATGGATTATTTTGGTCTGTTTGGCTGAGAGCAAAAATTATTCCACAATTTAATTTGTTCCACAGTGTTGCTTCCATTCCCAATAGAGTTGCTTCAAAATGTGGATATTTTTGTCCCATTTTCTGCAGGTTTGACTTCACTCATAAGAAGCAGACTGGTGGCTCTGGGCAGTACGGTAAAGTTGTAGGATACCTTGAGCCTCTTGACCCAGAGAATAACACCAAGGTGGAGTTTGAAGACAAGACTGTTGGAACCAACATCCCAAAGCAGTTTGTACCAGCTGTTGAAAAGGTTCATGTTTCTAACTAATGTACTACAGCTACATAGATGTACAACTATATTAATACAATTGACTTGAACACTACGTGAAAGTCAGGTACTCGATTGTCTTTCATCGCTTTTTTCTTCCCATCATGCTGCAGGGCTTCAGGGAGGCCTGTGAGAAGGGACCCCTGACCGGACACAAGATCTCAGGAGTCAGATTCGTCCTGGAAGACGGTGCGCATCACTTGGTGGACTCCAATGAGTTCTCCTTCATCCGTGCAGGAGAAGGTGCTCTAAAACAAGGTGAGGGTCACGTTAGATCTGACCTCCTGTTTCAGTTTGTTTCATTCTGTTTTGGCTTTACTCCTGAGCTGTACGTTAATGCTGGTTTCTCTGTGCTCTCCTCAGCTATGGAAAAGGCCAGCACGGCCATCCTGGAGCCAATCATGTCTGTGGAGATTGTAGCGCCTCTGGAGTTCCAGGGAGTAGTCATCGCTGGTGTAAACCGCCGGCATGGTGTTATCACAGGACAGGACGGAACTGAGGGATACTTCACTCTGCACGCTGATGTGAGTACAGCTTGTACACGTACAGCAAGTATCTACAGCCTTTCAGCCCACAGTATTTGTTCTTCATAATCATTTGTATTTGACTAATTTCAGCCTGTTTCTCCCAACAGATTTCACTTAATGACATGTTCGGCTACTCCACAGAACTACGCTCCAATACTGAAGTACGTCCAACCTAAAACACGATATAGCTCTATATGAATACTATTCTTTGTGTGTGTGTGTGTGTGTATATATATATATATATATATATATATATATATATATATCAGTCGTGCAGTTTCATTATTATAAAACTGGTTATCAAGCTTTCCAAATTAGTGGTAATCAAATATAAAAAGACAAAATGCTATGTAAATTCCTACACTAGTAATACACTAACCGTCTTTAAAAATCATGTTTAGTTTCTTCCTTCAAGACCTAATTCTTACTGATGGATAAATATTGTCATTTCATATTTGCTAAGCACTTTGCTTTACTGCCTTGGATGTTGTTGGTTGGGCAAGAAATTTCACCATTACAGAGGAGTCTTAAGTCTTCCATGACGCATCATAATTTCAAAATAATAATAATAATAATTACTTCTATCATTGTTTATTCAGGGAAAAGGAGAGTACACCATGGACTACAGCAAATACCAGCCCTGCCTGCCGGCCACACAAGAGGAGCTCATCAATAAATACTTAGAGGCTACAGGACAGCTGCCTGCAAAAAAGAAACAGTGGAAGAGCTGAAAGCTGTCAAATCTACCCAACTGTACACTATTGAACTTTGACATGACCACCATCCCTCATCTATTATGACTCGACAATAAGGCTTTGATTGTTGGAGCCGTAAAAAAACGTTACATTACTTTTAGTTTTGTAGTAAAAGCATTTTTCTTCCTGATGTTCGACCCCTGCAGAAAAACCTATTTATTACCTTGATTTTAGCCCCATTTGACCTCTCGGCTCTGCAGTCAGCATTTTGCAAGATGGTGGTTTATAAGGAAAGCTTAGTGTTTCGACTTGAGCTTATAATTGTACTATGTACAGAACTGTCTTCATGTAATGTTGATTGCTACAAAGATTTACATATATCCGTCTTTAAAACAAATATAATTATTTTTCTGTGCAGATCATTTATGACTCAACAAACACTCGATTTGGGGAGACCCACATTTTTCTTGCCATAAATATTTCTCCTGAGGAATGCAGCTGATTAGCTACAAAACAAATGAAAACCAGCAGAAAGATTAGACACCAAAGCCATTACTTTCTCACCTGTCCAAATATCTCTGTTTCCTCCACTGTTTCTGGTACACTGTTGGGGTGAGCTGACATGTCAGCTTCAGGTTTGATCATCACATTGGGGCTCCCAGTTACCCCAGTTAACACAGCCAGAACAACGATAATCCTCACACTCATCATAGTATGTTGTAAAACACAGATGCCAGAGAAAAGGAAAAGACTACTTGTGTGAAAGAGTGCAGGCAGGGAACTGACCCTCCTGTCAGTGTGGGGTTATGTAACCGAGGAGGGAGGGAGGGGGAGCAGAGGGAAGAGACTGTCCAGATCCTGCTGTCTTCCTGTTTATTTTTCGTCCTCTTAACTCAACAAACCGCTCCACTTTATCTGGTTCTGCTCTTCGTACACTCTCATGCAGCTCACTTGAGCTGTCAGCCCCTAAATGTTTCAGCACCCTCACAAGAAGAACTGATTAGTTTAGGCGCAATTATCCCATTTGAGCTGCTGCTCATGAAGCAGTTGTGATTTAATGTGTGAGCTTGATGGGATGCAGCCTCGCCTGCTAGATTAAAAGTAGAGGAGCAGGAGAAAATAAACCATGTCGTTGCAATTTGGGAGTTAAAATCCGAAATATACAGAGTTGAAGATTATAAAGGAGAGTTAAACATCAAGAAGACAGCTAGGAACGTAGGCTCGTCACAGTCAGACATTTTCACAGGGAACTCTCCACTTTCTCAGTATCTTCTTTCTAAAATAACTTGTCCTTGAGGTCACAGCCCACAGGCTGAGATAATGATAAGCCAATGGGATTTATTCTGCTCTGCTATATCTCATTATGTGTTTGGTTGCTGAAAATCTCGAGTCAGATATTCTGAATGATGCATTTTGTTTAATAAAAGAGAATCAAGAGTGGAAAGATATCATTTTCTTTGAGATTGAAAGCCTATTCTTGACCTTGGGAACAGTAGTTGACAAAACAATTGGTCAACAATCATTCTTGTCACTCTTGATCACTGATATCCAGATAACTGATTGAACGGGAGCATATTCTTAAAATAGATGATTATAAAATAAATGTCTTATATTTAAATAATGTGTAGCATATTCCTCCATGTTCATAAAGCAGCATCTGACATAAACCCTTGATATCACCTCCATATGACTCATACAGATTGTTGTTTTCAAAATATTAGATGATGTTAGATTTGCTTTTGATGTGTTTGAATCACCAAAATACCCCCAACAGATGAGAGAGAGTTCATGTGTCAGGAAAACTTTAATGACACTGAATGTGTTGTACAAAATCAAAACTGACAAATGATCAACATCAAAACTAAAACTTTACATCCTGAACTGAAATGATTTTCATCATTACTGAGTCACACTGTTGCAGTTAAATCAACACTACAAAAAACTACTCATAAGAATAATCACTCTTGTCAGTAGTGTGTACGATTTTCTATAATTCATTGTGGACGTAAATTTAGGAAGTTTATAATAAAGTTTTGGAGGTATTGTTGGAAATGTGTAAATAAAATGATTACATTATACTAAGAGGTGTTTCTAATTTCTTGTCCTTCCTATTTGGAGCATTTAGAGACACCTCTGCATCTAATGCAGTCCAATACAACTCCATCTTTAAAGGTCCAGTGTGGAACATTTAGGAGGCTCTACTGGCATAAATGGAATATGATATTTATAGGTATGGTTTCATTAGTGTATAATAGACTGAAAATAAGAATTGTTGTGTTTTAGTTACCTTAGAATGAGACGTTTTTATCTACAGACGCCACGGGTCGCCTTCCATGGAGTCCACCATGTCGAACCACTGTACAACTGTAGTCCAGAAGGGACAAACTACATACCTGCTCTAGATAGGGGCATTCGTGTTTTTAATGCTTTTCACAGCCACCGTAGTTTCTCCTTTGCACTTGTAAGAGGAGGGTGAAGCGAAGGAGTAGCAACTACACCACTAGATGCCACTAAATCATACACACTGGTCCTTTAACTATGACCTCAATGCTAAAATATATAATTGAATTAACTCCTCTATGACATAAACAGAACATTATAGGCATTATAAAAGTAGGCTTTATGGCTGAACAGTTGTATTGGACTGCATTTGATTGTACAGGTGAAGCTAATAAAGGCTACTGAGTGTAAATAGAAAACAATTATTGGAAGACATTTTAACTCTGTATTAAAAGCATCAAAACTATACATTTAGGACACAGAGCACATCTCAGTAAACTTGCTCTTTTTTTTCCTTTTCTTCACCTGATGGAAAACTGGTGCCCTTTGAGAATCATGTCCACTTGTATAACTCCGACTTGTCTCAGACATTTGGTTCTGCTGTCTTTTGTATTCACTGTTGTTATTTCCCAGCTGCACATTTCGGGGCAGATTATCAATAAGCTCGTAGAGAGTGAAGATGCAGAAGCAGATTTCATCATAGGCTGTTTTGGTACCGCACTCGAACAGGCAGGCGAAGGCCACAGCAGGCGGTGCACCAGGTGAGGGAGGCAACTCTAGATAGGCGAGGTCAGAGTAGGCGCTGGGGCCCTCGTAGATCACCCAGGGCCCGCGCCAACTGTCTGGATCACGGGGAAATAGGCTGAGGAACACGCCCAGATCCTTGCGGGCGGTGGTCCATGTAGGGTGGGAGTAAACCACCCAGGTGGGGGTGAGGAAGTCTGGAGGGGCACCATGACTGGGTGAATCAGAAGTGGTGATGTTTGGAGAGGGTGAGTTGTTGTGATTTGAGTAGGTCATGCAAGATGTCCAGTGTCTGGAGTGTTGTATAGGTTGGCGTAAGTGATGGTTCAGAGAATGACATAAATGTAACGGGGCAGGAAATCCCACAGTGCTACCATGACAACCATTTCGAGGCTCCACCAGCCGCTGCACCAGCTGCCCCTCCTGGAACACAGCTCCATCATCCAGACTGAGGGCCTGCACCCTGTATCCGAGAGGGCTGCGTGCATTACAGTACAACACATTAGTCCCATCCTCTTCATCCACAGACACCATCTGACACTCCACGCTCTCTGGCCCCGGCACCGCCTCCCCAAAACGCCAGGTTCGCCCGTGGGTGTCACTGTGAAAGCAGAAGGCGTGGGGAGTGGTCAGGCAGAGCTGTCCAAAGCACTCCTTGCACTCGATGTGGTAAGCATAGGCAGGAATCAGCAGACGACCAGACTTCAGCTGGATGCCGTGGCCCGGGCCAAGAGCGAAAGTGGCCCATTCTGCGGGGAGGAAGAGGAGGAAGAGACATGCAGATGTTTAGTATAATATTAAAAAGTAACGCACACCAAAGGTTGTAGAGAGATGCTGATCAATAGACTTGAAAGAAGGAACACACTATGGCTCTGAATGTATTTCTCTTATATTCAGATGATGTTGTTTCGACCCTCTGGCCTTCCACCCAGAGATTTATTTCATTTTCAAACTTCTGCAGTCTTTAACCGCAACTCATGCTGACTCAAGTGACATCATTTGAGGCAATCTATCAAACTCTGGAGCCACAAAATGCAACTTGTTTCACATATGCAATAGTACTCCCCCAAAGCTTGAAAACAGACTTAGATGTGTAAAATAGGTATGAAGTAAAAAGCAGCTTCCTGTGTTTATAATAATTGTAGATCATGTTAATCAGAATAACACAATGGAAGTCAGTTTCTCCCTGACCTTTGATTGTATCTCCTATGACCCTCTTGGTTAGGTCGGTGACAGGACTCCAGGTGTCTCCGTCGTCAGTGCTGCAGATGTAGCACAGACGGGTCACGTTCTTCCCCGTCACCAGCTGATAGGACTCTGAGGTGTGGCCAAGAACAGCGATGAAGAAAAGGAAGAGAGTACCAGTGAACTCATCGTACACCGGGCATGGGTTCATGGACCGGTGGCCTGGCAGGAAGGCAGAGCCCAGGACTCGCATGTCTTCCCACTGGAGCAACGAATGGAAGAAGATTAGAAAAGAAGAATATACTAACTAAAAATACTACATTAGAGAAACAGAGTGCTTGAGAAACAATATTTCGGTTCACATTTTTTTTCTCACCGTGACAAAATGATCTTAACTCAAGTCTCTGAAGATCAATAATGACCTTTTATTTGCCTTTTATACATCCATCTCTGAGATTTCCACACCAATACAGTTTTAAAGTAATTGTACTGGTGCACTTAACTGAAAAAGTACATTTTAAAATGTTTTCGTCTTTTTTTGTTCTTGTTTTTACAACTTTATTACTATTATCGTGTTTTTTATTTTCTTTACCTTATTAATCCCAAGCATGAGGGAGTTACTTCATTGTCATCGTGCAACATTATTATGTTTTATTGTATTGTATACGTATTATTGATGGCTGTTCTTTCTGAAAATGGAAAAGTAGAAAATATAAAGCTGTTCCCATTTTGTAATGATCATTATTTGAGACTTGAAACCTGATTAACTGAATGTGTCTTGTAGCATTAAATAATACTGTTTCATTATAAGCTATTAAAAACAGTGGGTATTCTAATTGTTGGAACACAGTTAAGTCACTCACTTAAATTTTGAGCTGTGAATTTTCTTCTTTTACTCACATAGGTTTTTTAAAAAAGTGCTTTTGCTTAAATAAAATAACAGTAGAGTACGTGTTTAATCTACAGGGCACTCTGACCTCCACATAGTTCCTGTAGAAAGTGCCTTTCTTCATCACCAGCAGGTGAGCCTGAGAGTCGGACGGGCTGAGTCTCTCCTCACAGAAGGCCAGGAGAGATCTGGAGCGGGTCAGGTAGAGCAGTGCGGGGACCCTGTACGTCACTCCATTTGGCTCCTTGTGGAAAAGCACCGTCCTCGCTGGGAAATAGGGCGACCTCATGCTCTCTGGTGTGTGAATATTTCTGAGAAGGAGAAGTAGAATCTTGAAGCTGCTAAGGGATACGAAGAATTTGACTCCAGTTATGAGTAAACAAAAGTTAGTAAACAAGTATAAGCAAACATAAACATACATCTGTTATGCACAGGAAAGCAGGTGAATACCTACGTACATATTGTGTAGTAGTAGATAATTAGATGTCTATATACAGGTCAAATATTATGGGTGATGTTATAGTTTATTTATATACATAAAGTTGGTGGTTCATGCACACTACATGCACGCATACACGCATATATACAGCCTACTTAGATATACTTTAACAGTAATGGATTATGTTATTGCCCAATTTGTATATTAAACTGAATCATATATTATTTAGTACAGTAGATGTTTTGGTATTACAGCGTTTATCATTTTCTGACATTACATGTCTAATTGAACTGTGATAGATTCTGCTTCAGAGTTTGATTTAAAGGTTAAAGTGGTTCTCAACCTTTTTGGTGTCAAGGAACTCCAAGCTGACACACATCAAGCAATAATAAAATGCAGTCACACTCATCCCTGTCTAATACGATTGAGTTATTTCATAACTGTGTATAGATTGGCCGATTAACAGTGATGAAAGAGCTACTGGTGTAGAAGAAGCCATTCTTTATCTCATAAAATAATCTCTGGAAAAAGGTCCAGTGTTAGAAGGAGTTACTCCAACTGTTACTAATGTGATTCTCTCTGCTAACTCAACCATTGCAGCAGTGTTATACACTTTCTTCTCTCTGCTTCTGGCACCCTCGTTCAAGATGTTAAACATCACATGGGATAATACGATTAATTTGTATTTTTAGTGCTTTTGAGCAATTCTGCTTTATGTTCTTATTCTTTAAACTTGGATCCCCATTAACTGCTACCAAAGTAGCAGCTACTCTTCCCTAGATCCACAACAAAACATACATACATAATAAGACATATAAGATGTATATAAATGAGACCATACACAGACACATTACAACACATCCAGTTACATTTCACATAATAAACACAATTAAAGCCCCAAATACATTTTAATTCAAGCACAATGTCTTAGATATGAATCTAATAAAATATACATCACATACCTTCAAGCTTTAGAACTTAATAGATAAAATAGAAAAAGCATCCTTTCACTCGTGCCATGGGGAGGTGTTGTGACAAACTGTCAGTAAACCTGCTGACAAATTCACACAGTTTTCTGCGTCTACAGTATCACATCTAACACATCTGCTCTCGTGTAACTGCATTATAAAGAGGAAGAGCATCTAATGAACAGGTCATGAGCAGAGAAATGTAAATGACTGCAGAGTACTTACATTCAAAGTGCTCTGTGAGAACTGTTGCTTCTTTGTGAGGACAGACAGCATGTGTCAGCATTTGAATGTGTTGATGTGTGTGTTGAGTGTGTGTAGTTGGTTTGTGTGTGTTTTGCGGTGATCTGAAAGCTATGGCCTCCCCTCTCTGTTCCCTATTCAGTGTGGCAGTATGGTACGCTGTTCACTGACCCAGAAATGGACCACACTCATCAGATCTACAGCTTTGGATGAATCAGCGGAGAGCAGCCATTGTGGAAATGAAGGCCGGGTGGGGGGGACCCGCTGAACAATGATTTGATGAACTGCCTCCTCTGTGTCCTGTGTGCTTTTCTTTTTCATGTTCTGCAGATTGTGTAGGAACAATGCACCTACTGTTCTGTTAGAGATAATGTAGTAAACATACGGGACATAATGTGCAATCATGGGGGCAATGCATGCAATATATATAAACATAATCATTAAACCTTTATACATTGCTTAATGTCACTTCTCATACATATCTATACGCAACTCACCGAGAAACAACTTGAAATATGAGCAACCTTCATCCTTCCTCTTAACGTTTAACTTATCTACTTTACACTTAACAGATTATTGTATTTCTGCATTAATGTATGTTTTGTGTTTTATTACCTCTGGCTCAGTAATATTGTACAGACATGGTGCATTAACATTTAATATAAAGTTAATTTTTCCCTGAATTTTCCTTTCAGGCAGCATTTCATCTCCTGTTTGGACTGAACAGCATCAACCTCCACACATTAAATGTTTTAAGTTAGAGATAGGAGGAAACAGATCATTAAAGATCTGCAATTCTTGGCGAAAAGGCTAAAATAAAATAAAATATTCCGTGTAAACTAAACTCAGGGAATAAAAACAACCTCCTCTGTGACGTCCTCATTGAGCGACACGGCCCCACATGGCAGCCCTCTGAAGTTTTGACTGCGCTTGCTAAGGTACCGTGATTCTGTGGTCCTGAAGTTATCGATCGTGTGACAACAGGGCGGTAAATGATGTCCGATCAGCAGATGAACAGAAACATGTTTATTATCGTCGCCCGTCAGTTGAACAGGAAGTTAGCCACGTGTTAGCTTTTAGGCTAATGAACGAGCAGAGAAGAGGAAGAGGAAGAGGAAGAGTCGACAGTGTTTGGGTCGATGAGGTTTGACATATACAAATAGTAATTCAGACTACAGTGTAATTAAAAGTTAACCTAATGTAAAGATTCTCCCTTTGTTTGTAAATGACTTCTCATCAAAAGATTATTTTTTTATTTATTTTAATACTTGCTGCTAAGCTTTGCTCTTAAAATTTAATATATTATTAAATCTGACTGTTCTGCAAGCAAGAGTGTTACGTAACATACACAGTGTTTATGTTGAATGTAACTGTTTGAGTAATATGAAGATATTTCTCACTTTTATTGTGAAAACATTCAGTTTATTAGGTACACACACATTGCTGATACTGTTTAAGTCTTACCTTCACTGGGGTTATAATACTGTAATAATATATTCATCATCAGTTCATGCTGATTATTTACTCAATAACTGATTATGTGTTTATAATCTCTTTTTTGTTCAACCAGCTGCCCCAAAACCCAAATATATTCAGTTAACTTCCACAGAAAACACAATAAAAGTAGTTAAGGTTGACTATCAAAACTGCAATTAATTTACTGTCAATTGATTTATTGATTAATCAAGTAATTCTCTCAGCTCTACATCAGTTTGTGTTAAAAATGCAACTTGATGGTAATTTAAGAAGCTGCTGAATTGTTCTGTATTATCTTAAGACATGTTTATGATATTTAGTCTAGTTTATAAATATAACTGATATGTGTCTGTTGTTTTAAGTCTGGCACACAACGCTGCCTTGTATCAGAGAAACACCACAATCTCATGTTTATCTTCTCTGCGTTAACTTTCATGTGGTGGGGTCAGCATGGCCAGGCAGTGGTCTGAGGGCCACTCCACATCCATCCTGTGTGTTGGGGCGTCTTCAGGCCCCGAGGGTCTCCTCGCTTCAGGCTCTGAGGGTGGAGAGGTCACGGTGTGGAGTCAGGAGGGAACCATCGTCGGCCGCCTCGCTCTCCCTGGTGAAGAGGACAGCACAAGTGTTGTCTTTTCACCTGCAGCTCCGGGACAGCTCTACGTGTCACATGGAGACACAGTGAGTGTACTCGACCCCCGCAACCTGAAGGGCCCCGTGGAGCAGTTTCAGGGTGCAGGGGAGGAGGAGATCAATGCTTTGGCACTAAGCGACACGGGTTCAGCCCTGGCGGTGGCTGATGACTCCGGGGCGGTCCGGGTACTGGAGCTTCCAGGGGGGAAAGTGTGCAGGACTCTTCGTAGACACACTAACATCTGCTCCTCTGTGGCGTTTCGGCCCCACAGGCCCAATAACCTCCTGTCTGCTGGACTCGACATGCAGGTAAGAGAGAGGAGAGTTTGGACTTTGTATTTACATGTCATCCACTTCTGTACCAACTATGGTTGACATTTCTTTCCCTTATGCAGATTTGTTTCACCCTTTTTTTCTGTCGCTCCAGGTGATGCTGTGGGGGCTGCAGAAAACACGCCCTCTTTGGACCCTCAACCTCCAGGACGTAGCAGAAGAAGAAGACGACCATCAGCAGAGACCTGGTCAGCTTTTCAACCCGCCACTGGCCCACTGTGTTACTGTGGCGAGTTGTGGAAACATTTTGGGTTGTGCAGCAGAGGACGGACGCGTGCATCTGATGCGGATCGGCAGCGGCTCTAAACTAGAACAGCAGGGAGCATTCAAGGCTCACAGTCAGGGCGCCTCACAAGCCCACTTTGTTAGTTTCCTCCCCCACCCTTACTGGCTCGTCACTGGAGGGAATGACGGCCAGGTCGCCCTGTGGGACCTCAGTAAGCACCCGGTGGTGTCTCCGGAGGCAAAGGCCAAAAGTCGAGTGACAGCGGCCCCACGCAGGAAGAGTAAGAGCAAGGCAAAGAGGAAAGAACAATCTCAGGATAAAGCAAAGACCCCACCGAAGGCTGAGGCAGAGAAAGAGGAAGCTGAAGTGGAGGATGAAGCGGCAGCAGGTTCAGAGGAGGTGACGGAGGAGAAGTCAGGGCCCAAACTGAGCATCAGTCATGGGGACAAAGTGAACTGGTTGTGCCCTGCGGTGCTGAAAGGAGAACCCAGTGTGGTAGTCGCAGATCAGAGCTCCAGTCTGACAGTCTACCCTCTGCCTAAACTGTAGATTCACACACTTTACTACACGTTCTTTAATCTTTTGCTCTGGCCATAGCAGCATTTTGACTTGTAGTATCTTTTTGAAATGTTATACACTCCTATTAAAACTGGTAGCATCATTATTTGGACTAAATGGTGACTGGCTCAATATTGTGACAGTAGGATCTTGTTCTCCTTTAATAAAACCTGAACTGTGGGCAGAAACCAAAGCTGACCAGTGCTGGAAGGAAGATCTTTACAGGAGCAAACATCTGAGTTTTAAAAAAATATTCAACACACTAACACGTGTAATGTGTTTTTTCAAGTCTTATTTAATGCAAGCTCTATTCATTGGGGGGGGTGTTTGTGTGCGTGTGGTCCAATAAAAAACGTCATCCTTTGATATATATTTTGCTATATACTACCACATTAGACAAAACAAATCTGCTTGTTTGACTACGTCTGCGGTTCTTTTTTATACAGTAAAATAAAGTCTTAATCCAAACCAGGTACAAGACAGAAAGATAAAGAACAAGAATGCAACTGAAAGATAAATCTGTGACACACTGCTCTATCTCAGACATTTGAGAGCACAGCATTATAACAGTTCACACTCTGTGGTGACCTTGTCCTCTGGGGAGCACTTTAGCTGTTTTTAAAATGCGGCGCCTTGTGAACTGACAGCCAGCTAATCCCCCTCATGTAACTATGTGATAAGATTTGTTTCTGTGCGTGTTAATGATTAAATCATGTCTGCTGCTTATTAATCACAACAGGCTGAATCTGTGACACGATGTTAAACACCAGACAGACTGTATCTTGTGATACAGTTTAAGAAATTGTGCTGTTCCTATTAATCTGTGGACTTTACCATCAAGCATCAAAAACTTTATATTCTCAGTGTTTTAAAGATGCCAGACAACCACAAAATCTCAATAAATTCATACATTCATTGCAAATGCACTGTATTCACGCAACACTTTCAAACAGGTACACTGTCATTCTTTTTCAAACTAGCAAAACACTTTTCTATAATACCAGAAAAAAAAAGGCACAAGGCTGACTGTTCAAGAATGCAGTTCACACCAATCTGTCTTAACAAGGCAGCTTATAAATCAGACACAAAATGAAAATGAAAATGTGTGACTGCCTGACAAAAACTTTTCTTTAAGTTGCAATTATAAACAGCAAATTTTGAAATTTAACACAATTCTTTAAACTATATATTTTTCTTAACAAGCCAAATAAAGCGCTTTAAGGTAGATGTTCACAGTACGATTTACACTGAATAAGCACATTAACATTTCTCAGCACTGCAGAGCAACCTGACACACTGTTACATCACAGTCTTTTTGGTGTGTTTTGATTGAATATGTCTCAAACAGTCAGCACAGATAGGACCGTGTTTGACCGCTTACTCCTGTCAATAAATCCTCCACTGAGATGCAATTGTCAATCAATCATCTCTCTTGATTACTGAGGCGGTGCCCGAGGTCGGTGCCTCTGAAGCAAACTGCACAGAGGATGTTGAGTTGCTGATTTTATAGTTTAGCCAGGCTCTTCTCCAGGCTCTCCACATCTGCAACCCCGTCTTCACCCTTGCTGCCGCGGGCGCTGCACTCAAGGAACTCCACCTTCATGGGCAGCTGGCTGAAGTCAAAGTCCTTGCCCTTTTTCCCCAGATACACGCTGCCGCCCACAGAGCCGTCCTGAGAGCTCAGTGCAGCAGAGCGTGTCACTCGCAAGGTGTTCCTATGACACACAGGAGACAGAGACTGAGGCTTAATGGTGGTTCAGTCCACAGCTAAAGTGTAGCGTATACGACTAAGCCTGTATGATTGTCATCATTGTTGTATGGCCTGGCTCAGGTTATACCCTTTGTAAGGGGAGGGTGGGTCAGTCCTTTGCCATCCTGACTGAAAAGTAGCAGGGTCCTGTTTCGGGGCTTATAATTTAGGTGGTATCGGATCCGTACACAGACACACAAGTGTGCTGGTATCTGTACTGAAACAACTATGAAAAAGTGCTATAAAAATGACTAAAAGAAACTAAAGATGACGGTCAAACACTCCACTTAAAGACACAACGTGGAGGAAACAGTACCACGAAAAATTAACATCACTTATTGGAACTTTTAACCTTTAAGTCACTGCTGGGTACTTATTATAATTAGGACTCCTTTTCACTTCATGTGCCAACACATTGACAATTTAACACATACACTAGAGATATTACATGTAACACTTAAAACATCAACAATTTAACAAGCTGAACTTCTTATATTTGAGAACTTGAGGTGTAATTTTGACCGAAATTGACCTCAAAGAAGAAATCGGAACACGAGACAAATACTTAAAATATACAGTAACATAACATAATATATAGTAATGTCATATACAGTTACTTACATTTCCTTTTCCAGCTGCTGCTGAATGAGTTTAGCTGATTTTGCCATTGTGATATCTGTAAAAAAATAAACAGACAAGTAAATAACGATGCCACATCCCACATAAGCAACTTACAAGAGGTAAAACGTAGATAATTGGGTCATTTCAGAGCAAAAGGGTAGTTGAACCTTGTTTGTTGCACGCCACCAGGAGAGCTGGGGCGTTCCTGGAGATCACGATGTCTGTCAACAAGATGTACAGGAACTCTGCCACGTCTCTCACTTCCTTCTGGAAGATAGCGCTGTCCACCACGAACACAATCGCTCTGGAGAGATGAAGGATAAAGAGGGGATAGGGAGTGATGTGAGATGGATGTGATCAGGACTTTAACTCAATAATAAACAGAAAGTAGTCCTGTTCTCACCTGGCTGCAGATTTGAACTTCTCTAGGTACTGTGGGCGAAGACTGTCATGTCCCGGCAGATCTATCAGAGTCCAGGTGCTGCCCTGAACACAGGAGGGAGAGCGGACAACCATAAACCATGTTCATCATAAAAGCATGACAGCTGAAGATTAAGGGACGATAAACCTAAACTCACCTTATCATTTTTAGCTTTATACGGAGCACTGCTGTCAGTGATGGAGGTCTGTGTCCGCTTGAACTTTCCTGACAACAGCTGCCAAAAACATGAAACAGCACAGTCACTTTAAAAGCAGATTTAAGCAGATTTAAGCATGCACCAGTGTGGCCACCAGCTGAGGCTCCAATGACAGACAACGTGGCGATGGAGTTCAGTCCACTGACCCGGCTGAAGAGCAGGGTCTTCCCGGAGTCACACAGTCCGACCAGCAGCACCGCACTTCGGACAGTTTTGCTGGTGAGAAAGTACTTTAGAAACACTGCAAAGGACAAAAAGGCAGAGAGCGATTTAAAACCGATGTTGTGAACTAAACACACTCAGTAAGTTTTACTTCAGTGGGAGATAATGTCTCATAAACAGCTGTTTGCTTTAGCCTCCTAATCAGTTTATAAAAACACAAACTAAACTAAATTAACATAAATAAATAAATAAAAAATATATATATAAATACAAACGCTGAATGTCCTGTTGACAAACCCCGTTTCCCGACAACCCAACACTTTGTCGCCGACTATGCTAAGCTAATCGCTAGGCCTGGCCTGCTGACGGTGACTATCCTACCGCAGGTGACGACGACGACCGCCAGCGCGACGACGACCGCGATCAGAAACACGGGGTCTTGTTCCTCCAGCTGCAGGCGAAGAGACTCGATGTAAGCTTCAAAGGGGTTTTCGGCCATTTCCACGTCTGCTTTCTCTCCCATGTTGGCGCCGGTGCTGTCCGCCTCCATCTGCCCCGCTCAACCTAACCTGACAGTGGGACACGTCTCCTTCCTCCTTCCTCCTGCACGGAGCCTGAACCGCCAGCAGGGGGCGCTGCAGACCAGGACGTCTCACCGGTGGTCTACTGGGACCAGTAGACCAGTAAGTGGATCCCCATCAAACTCAATGCATTTTGGCATGAAATAGTAGGGTAAACACAGGTGTTAATGGTACTAATTAAGGTTCAGTTGCATTTAGTGTAGCAGAGTCTTGAACTGGAGCAAAACCTTAATTAGTGTCATTAGTTACACCTGTGTTTACCCTACTGTTTCATGTTAAAATGACTGCTGTGAAAAAGGCATATAGGTGCAACAGGAATTAATTTCCTCCAGGGACAAAAAAATATTATAACAAATTTAAATACTAATATAGGTAAGTCAAAGTATGAGGTACGTTTACTTCCAAAGTCAAAACTGTGAGGTAATCGATCACAAATTAAACTTTTTAAGTCAAAATACAAGATAATACATCCAAAAACAATTCGATATTATGTCAAAGGTTTGACCAACTAATTTAATAAAGTTATGAGGTAATAAATCCATATTGTTTTACTTCCAAAGTAAAAACTGTGAGCTCATCAATTAAAATCTGGCCTACCAAGTAAAAATACCAGATCATTAGTCGAAACTTTCACTTTGTAAAAATATAAATTAAGATCATTTGACTTACCACTGGTATTTTTTTTTTTTACTTTTATTAAGTTAATTGCAAGAAACTTTTCAGACATTGGTCGCTAAACGTTTTTCTGGCTGCTTTATCTGTTCGGTGCATCAAAAGGTTTATAGACTATAAATATATATATATGTTTGGATAGAAGAAGAAACCCCCCTAGTCTCCGTTTCCTTAAAAGCATTAAATGTGCTGCTACTATAAAACAATTTTTATTGTAAGCCAGTTGGCAAAAGAGTCCCAGATGTTAGTCTCGAAAAGGGTAAAATATAACCTATATGACAAAGTGTGACAATAAGTGATTATTGTAAGGTCTTAATACCATCGCTCATATCTGCCTGTGTTACTCACTGACTTACAGTAAGTCTCCATCAGTTTGGAGAACAGAGACAATGAGACAAAAGACACTGCGATAGAGTTCAGTAACTGTGGATCACATTCACATCATTGGACCTATTTGAAAACTGAACAGTCGTGGTTTTTCGATCGGGACCAGATGCGCTTTTACGCACTCCGTCTCCAGCCCTCACACAAGGCGCGCTTTTTTACGCACACTGGATATTTGACTCCTCAGTCCTCGGCACGATGTCAAACGTCAGAAAACCGCATTATTCTATAGGAAGAGGCTGTGTGTCATTCATTTTGGGCTGTTGAGGGGGCAGTTTGTTTCTCCTCGGGAAGACGAAATGACCAACTCATGAATGGTTTCAGTGGGGTTTGCTTAGTCTTTCTCTCCCCGTTCCAGTTCAGATACTCTAGATCTGTCTAACAGGGATTTATAACTTCAGGATTTACTTGAAAATCGTCGGTATCTGCGGATCTGTCAGGGATAAATCACAGGGAGACGATGGCTTTATCGTTCCTCTACGCGCTGTGCATGTGGATAAGTGTAGTCTGTCCTTCGCTGGGAACAGGGTTTGTTTATCGCTTTCCAGCCATCACTGTGCAACGGCAGCGCATCAAATCAGAACAGAGCGGCAGCACTGGACCGCCAGGTACCGGACCCCATACCCAGCTCAGGTGAGCACATGGACATACTTGAGATGGCGCCTTTTCACTGCAGGCTCTAAAAAAAAATGTAGTGCTGATTCTGTGTTCTTGAGCAGAAACAAATTGGCTGCAGCTCTATTAAATTATCACATTAGTAGGTCAGTTATCTTAAGCCTGAGTGTGTAATCTCTTCCATACCATTACTGATTGTGTATGATTTCTCTCACTTAGTATTTATGGTGAGTGTGAAATCTGTACTTCGTTTGTTATTTCAGGAACTGGTGTCAGTATACGGTTTCCAGAACAGTGTCCTGTCAGGTGCACAATGGGACAGAAACCTCAGTGCAGAGAGTTCTTCAGGGCTGCCGATGGCCCGGACCCTGCTCCAAAGTCATCAGGTAACCCTCACGACTGCCCCCCTTCAGCCAAGTCCTCATCTCCCTTCGGCTCTCTCAGTTGTCAGTGATGCTGATACAGTTTTTGTTGTTCAGAACAAGTCATGAATATGGGACCAAGGGTGGATTAGTGATTAGTGACAGCCACTGGGCTTCTGTCTTGCTTTATTTTCACCCTTCCTCTAATTTAAAATGTTGGTAAAGACGATCTTTTACAAAAGGAAAAAAGTCCTGCCATCACCATTATCAACACAATGAACATTAAATTATTTTAAAGTCTTTTAATAGTTTCCCTCTGAAACAGACCTGGCTGAATCCTTTCTAGTATAAGTGGATTAGAATTAAAACGGTGCTGTGCTTGTCCCATTCCCCCGTCTCTCCCTCAACCCAAAAAAGACACCACAAATAAAATTTTTTGGCAGTTTGTTCATGTCTCTGTCATTTGTACCATTTTCTCCAGCTACAGAACCGTGATCAGGCCGTCCTTCAAGGTTACCTACAAGCAGGTCACTGCGCTGGAGTGGAGATGCTGTCCGGGGTTTGTGGGAGAAGAGTGTCGTAATGGTGAGCTTCTGTGCTTCTTTTACATGATGCACTTTCTCAGACACAGCAGGGGAGAATGTGGTCGGAGGATAATTCATTCAAGGACTGAACTAAAGCGTATCTTTTGCCCCCATCTGTGTCTTTTTAGCAGCTTTACCCACATCAGTGCCTTTAATTTAGTTTGGTGGTGTGTAGTTGGGCAGCTTGCTAATCGTGCTTCTGTGTCGGAGTTGGCCTTTTGATATGATTGTAAAGTTGTTTTAAATTAAGATTTAAAGCCTGTTTTGGATTACTTTCGGGAACACAGACAGCAGTAAAACAACAGTTGAAAGGGATCCTCAGCTCTGTGGTTTTGTACCTTTTTCTTTTACAGCCATGCATTAAAAGCGCTTCTGTGCCTGGAAGAAGGATTAGATTCACTAACCATCTCCCGCTGTATCTCTTGTTTCTTGGTATGTGTGTGACTGTGTGCACTTCCCTCACACACATACTCTGTTAACCATAGACAACACACAGGCAGTTTTGCCTGTCTCTCTGAATATCATTATGGCTATTACAGTCAGAAGAATGAATGAAAAAAGCTCAGAGGAACGTCCAACGGAGCAGCTTGTAAAGTGTGAGGTAGTCTAGGTCTCGGTGATGGGCAGCGCTGCTCCTGGACACCACAGACCGCAGACTCTGAGCCCAGTAGAGACCAACATTTTTCACCCAGGGGCGAGCCACCACAGCCAGCCTGAAGAAACAGAGAAAGAGGGTGGATGGAGGTCTAATGCCAGGCTGCTTTAACTCTGATCATATATATTTATATATATACATACATATATATATATATATATACATATGTCCACTGCTCACAACCACAGTGACAAACATGTTTTCACATATTGTATTTTAAACATTGTGGATGCCTGTAAAAGGATGCTTGAGGCTGCAGTTATTTGAAATGCAGAGTTATTTTAACAGCTTTCTATTAAAATTATTCAGTACATTCAGCAACTTGGTAGATATTTTTTTGAGCTGGTAACAGTAAATCGTGTGTAATTGAAAAACGCTGGCATCGTCAGTCTGCATTTGTCCAAGATTAACAGTTACCTCAATGAGCAAGTTTTGCTTATTGGTCATAATTACTGCACCTTGTTCCATTTTGCAAAATTATACATTGTTGCACTTGGATGGGCAACATTTGCCACGAGTTAAAAAAACATACATTAATACTAATGGAATAAACACAGACATTATTAGAAAGCCTTTGGAAACCATTATTTGCTCTGCCATGGATATTATTCCACACAAAGATTAACACGTACCCATATCCGCTGAGTCTGTAATGCCTGAGATTATGGTTCACTTGAGACCAAAGTGGTTGCAGGAGTGTGAAGAAGTAATCTGGCAATTTATTTAACGTTTGCTGAAATGTATTTGCAATTTCTAATGGCTATAGAGTAGGAGGAAAATTGCCTCCATATGGGGAGACAGAAGGCCAGGTTGGACTGGAGTGAGGAGACCTTAAAGACAGAGGCTGATGTCACTGGACAGTCTGCTTCACACTGAGGAGTGGAGGGAGAGCTGGCAAGGGGTGAGTCGGAGTTAGAGAAAGAGAGGACACAGAGGAGAGAAAGTTAGGATGAGTGTGCAAGAAACAACAAGGTGTTAGAATTGGCAGCACAGAAACAGCTGTGCAGCAAGAAAAGAGAAGAGAAGAGAAAAGTGAAGTGTAATGAGGAGGGTTTCTGTCCCACAGGGATCCAGCTGCTACAAGCTGCCCAGACGGCAGCGGAGCAGAGAGTCGGTTCTGTGGGAAAGTGGCCCCACTGAGATTAATGAGCATGACACTCTTCCACCAGGTCTTTGTAACAGACGTGACCGTGCTAAGATCAGGCTACAGCTCTGAAACAAAAGACTTGTTCTTCTCGTGTAGATTAAGGTCTGTAAAACAAAGTCTGTGAAGTATAAATGTATATTAGGAATACTTTGGAAATAATGTTTTTTCTTCAGAGTAATACCACAGGAGAACACTTTAAAGTTATACCGTAAACTTTTTCATTGGTTCGTCAAAGAAAGTTTTGTGTTAAATGGTTTAAAGAACTTATAGTTTAGTTATTTTCAGTATATTTTGCGCTGAAAACTTTTTGGAGTTGTTACATATCGAATGGAGACATGTTTTATTGTTTTAAGAACGCAAGACGCTCAGTGTTACAAACCTGTCATGTAATGAAACAATCAGCCACACATATACATACAAGTGAAACTAATAGAGGAGGACATTTGACATGTTTCTGTTTGATTTCACTTGTCTTTAGTCTTGTTGAAAGTGAGGGTGTGACAGTTGTAAAAACAAGTCATGCATCATATTTAAGAACTTCCAAGTGCCTTTTAAGCATTTTACAAGGGTTTATCAGCACTGTACTACAGAACTGAGAAAGGTTTGCCTATGGCATCATCATGAAGATTTCACTTTTGTCACGTTTAAAGAAATTGGAAATTTTATTTTCTTGTCAAGAGTTAGTCTGCCTGGTAAATATGAAGCTACATTCAGCAGCTGGTTAGTTTAGCTTAGATCTCACCACATAAAAACTACAATTTAGCAAATTGATACTTTAGTTTTTGTTTGAGATTAAACAAATGAGATATTACATGTTAATTAGTGAGCTTGAGGTGCTGTTATGCAGACTTTGTTACTTTTTGAAGGGGCCCAGCTGGCTGTTTTCCCATTTCCCCTCTTTGTGCTAAGCTAAGCTAATTGGCCATTGGCAGTAGCTTCATATTTCCTGTACAGACATGAGCGTGGTATCAATCTTCTCATCTAACACTCGGTAAGAAAGCACTGTACTTCACATACATTACCTGCCTCCAGATGTAAACAAGCAAAATTCAAATGCAATAGTCCAACCAGTAGTGGGCGGTCGTTATGCGTATTTATAACTCAATATGTAGAATTTAAATACTTAGCGCTAAAAGGTTCAGGTTGGGACCCTAATCAATCAACAATACTTCTAGATACTCATACTATACATACGTTTTCTGTTTAAAAAGGTGGTTTTCTGTTTAGTTGCTCTTTAAGTGAGGATAATTTTAGTTGGCAAAAGAATCCTTGTGTCTTTGTGTCACTCAGCCAACACTGTACATACAGCCCTGTGGAGCAGCAAACTGCAGCAATGGAGGCTTTGAGCCAGCTGTTTTATCAGCGCGAGAGACAGCCTCAACCAATGAAGATGACATCACCTCTGGTTTTAGTTTGATGGGGTTCTGGCTCCACTTCAGAGGCCCTTGAGGCCCTCAGATATGTAGATACTGATACATAAAGAAGGCTATAGAGTTGAAGTTAAGTCTTTGTAAGCTTAGGAGAGGCTTGTTCCTCTCACCTCTGCACACACTCTTGATTCCATCTTTTGAACCCTGAATCATTTTCTTACATGAATGTGAACCCTCAGAAAATAGCCATTCATGAACATGAGTGCAAAATGAATGGTTATAGTCTCTGTGTTGAACACACTACACTATATGAAGTCTACATCTGCCCCTGGTGTCAATGCACCCATTATCATGTAGGGTTTAGGATTCAAGTTTCCTTCCTTTCCCTGAAAATTAGACCAAGTGGATGCTTCACAGGTCCACCGAAATGTTTAGGGCTGAAGTTGTAAGTCGAGTAATTAATCAGTTGGTCAACAGAAAAATAATCAGCCTGCTATTTCCACAAATTCTCCTCCAGACATCTGGTTGGAACAATAATGTCTGATGTTTTTTCTGCATATTCCCACATAAAAATCCTTAAAAAATGTCTCCTACTTCACTGTAAAGTCCATTCTCGTTGTATGTGCGTGGATGGCTTCAAGTTTCTACATCAAACTTGTATGTATGTGACAAATCATGCTCGTAGGCTCCGCTCCTTAAAAAATCTGCTTTTTAATGAGCTCAGAGAAACTTTCATTCTCAGCAGCATGAATGTAAAAACATCCTTCTAGTGTCAAACTCTGCACATACATCATTCAAACATCACACTGTAGGAACAAGAGGAGAAACAGATTTTTGAGCGGAGGGGGAACTTTAATCATTCAAGTGATTTTCCGTCCAAGAAATACTAAACACTGCCATCTTCCAGCTCCTAAACTGGGAGGATTTTATGTTTTTCTTTGTCTGGTGTGATACTAAACTGAATATCTTTGCATTTTGGACTGAGACAAAACAAGCAATTAGAATAGATCATCTTGGGCTTTAGGAAATTGCAGTAGACATCTATCACTATTTTTTGACACCAAAACCAGCAAACAATGAAAATAATCATTAATCAAAGCCCTAAAAATGTTTGACATTTAACACTTGAATATGCAGAAATAAAAAAAAGTGATGCTGTAGTTTGAGCAGGTTAATGCATCAGTCATTAAATATGGATTATTCTTACAGTTTGGGGGTATTACAAGTCCTCCAGTGTGTTCCCTGCTTTTTGTTTTGTCCTGTGTAATACAGCATCATGAAGCTTGTTGCCGAGCCCTGCAGCAGAGCTGGTCGCAAAGCCTCAATTTTTCTGTGTTTGCTAATGGAAAGTGGGCGTTTTTCTGAATACATTTCGTTGACACCCTGACCCGTCAATATTTTTGACAGTCTGGTTTGTGCTGGCTGTGTACAGTGCATCTCAAGATTTACATTTTGCTTTCAGCAGAGTTGTGCTAACACATGACGGCATGGAACACATTTGGGAGAAATGTGTTCGTAATTTCCCCGCTGTCGGCCCCTGCCGCCCCACTCTCTCCTCCCCACTCCATCACAGCAGCACCCCAGCACCTATCTGCACACATGATCATATTAACAGTAGGGATTGTGGGTAACGTCTGTGTATGAGGGAGCCTCATCTAAAAGGAAAAGAAAGCAAGGACCTCCCCTGATGAGAGAGGTAACCTTTGATCTCATCCGAAAGCTCAGGAAAAGAAGTCTAATAAGGTTTAATGGTGGGTGTGCCCGCAGGATTTTATTTTGTGAAGTTAACATGGAATTTAATTAAAGAAGTGAAAATGTGGCTGAGAGCT